TTATTTCATAGAATTGTCATTAGTATTGTGATCAATTAACAAATGAAATAAGAGTTTCTGAAGACCCATTTAATGACTTTTAATGACAAAAATTATTATTTTATTATCGAAAAATAAAATAAAGTTGATACATCACTTATTTGAAAATAAATCTGCAACCAATTTCAATTAAAATTAGATTTTATATTTTAACTTGAAACCTTTTTATTTACATTAATTTTGGGACATCTAGTATATAAAAATTGACTAAATGATTATTTGTCGATTCAATAAGTTTTGAATTTTGGCAATGATAAACTTTTGATAATGAAATCAGTGACAGAGGTAGTTACGTTATTGATGCAGGTCTTACTTAGGATAGAGATAGGTTAGTTAATATTTTAAATAATGATCTGCATTAATAACATCAATAATGTAAACATTTTTACTGCATATTATATATATCGATAATTTTTTGCGATTATATTTGAATGACATTGTGTGCTTGGTATTTAGTCTGTACAGAAATTTATGATGAAGATTGTTCTTGCCAACTAGCATATCTTGACAAGACAAGCTTTCATACTAAGTACATTATATTGCAAATGTTAGTAAAAAAAAAAAATTAATATGAACAAGATTTGATTGTTTAAAAAAAGATATAACACAGTTATTATCCAAACAACCAATATTTAATTAATATTTTGTCAAAACTGTATTAAGAATTATAATCAATGAAATCAGAGTAAAAATTTTTTATATCATATATGATTTTATTTAAATATACAATAATCATTACAAAATATAAGTTAAAAGAAGGCTAGCACAATTTGAATGAGAGCATTGAAACAATAGATTTGACAACTAATTCATGTTAAATATTATAAAGTGCTCAAATAACTGCAATTAAATAATATATATATTATTTTTTGATGCATTTATAGTTATTGGTTTATAAAAATATCAAAAATATGATTTATGCAATATGTAGATCAATATGTAATTGAACATTTATCAAAACAATAACAATTAATATTTCTTAGACCAATTCTATTTTGATCCAGGTCAAAATAACCCATCATGTGATTTTAAGCTATCGTGATGCAAATAGGCATATAATCGAATATAGTTATATAGATCATATGACTGTTGCTTAATATAAGCCAATCAAATTACAACATTTATGAGTTCAAGTATACCCAAATCAAATACAACTTGAACCTGAATTTTATATTGTATTTTGTTACTTGTTACTTGTTTAATATGATTTTTGAAGACTATTGTGCCATTTGCCAAATTGTAATCCTTTGATTATTTTATAGTAATTAACAATTCTAGACAATACTAACTTCAATAATCAATTAAGAACATAATTATTCATATACAAATCAATTGTTATAGTAGATATCAATATTTAAACACTTCTAATAATACAAAGTATGTATATACATGCAATTGTTAAATAACTAGTGCTAATAAGTTCAAATATATATCACATAAAATAAAAAATACAGACATGAAAAGTTGATCAAATAACAATATTGTGATATAAACAGGTTTAGAAAATGCATAACAGTAGAGTACTGTATTCTATATTTATGCAATTCATGTTACAGATCTTTTATTTAAACCTAAAAAAACCAACTTATATAAGCTAATATTCCTTTTAATACACTAATATGAAAATTAAAAAGATATAAATATATTAGTTTATATAAATAAATGAAAATATATATACATACAAATATATATTTTGCAGCTTTTAAGATTATTATTATTATTACTAAATATGAATCATTTTTTTTTTTTTAACTTTTGGTAGTCATGATGGTCAACCAGTCAGAAGTTTATTTATAAATATTTAATACAGACAATATATAAATAAAACTATATTTAACTTCACATGCTATCATTACACAATTACCCCAATTGGCACTTATGAGTGACTTGCCACACTAGACTTGCTAAAGTTTGGATCAAGCTCATCTGTCTGCCATCCTACAATTAAATAGCACTAATCTGATATTATTTTTTCGTAAGAAGATAAAAAACCAAAAAAAATTTTCTTGTTGAGAGGCAATGCACTAAAAAAAAAAATATATATAGGGGAGAAACATAAAAAAAAACAAATATCAAGAAATAAAAAGAAAAGAAATTGCTGATGAAGGTTAGACAAATAGGTATTAATTATAAAGACTGTATTGGCCTATTAAAAATTATATATTACTAAATACAGTAATCTTTACTTTAACTCTATCTAATTAACATATTTAATACTAAAGCTTATATCTTAAGGAAAACACTTTAACTAAAACTAAACTGGCAGAGAAATTTCTATGTGCTGGATGCCCTGACTTCTTGTCACTGGATCCATCTTTATGTACAACTCATTATACTTTTTACCAAATCTTACATTTTAATACTTGTCACATTTTTAACTAATCATCTAATCTTTTGCTGAAAATCTCCAATCTCGTCTCATTGTTATGTTTTTCCAAGACATATATACTCATGCTTTATCTGTAACATAGGCCTTTTTTGAATAGAACTAATAAACAATCCCGATTTGGAAGGATCAACAATGCTGATTTTGATGAAAATAAGCTGGATTGCCTACTTTCAATAAAAATTTCTTGGAAAAAAGTAGAAAAAAAATTTTTAGAGTACCAACTGTAATAAGTGTAGGAGTTTATATTATATAGAATAGTATATTCAACTAGACTTTTATCTTTACTATTGCTCAGATATAGCTTGACAAAAACTTCCTTAATTGTAGCCAAAATTACTTTTTCAATAACTCCATAGACTTCTACCAGAGAGCCAAACCCACAAAAAGCTGTCTTTTTTAACTCTTTTTTATATGGCCTATATGCAATCTGAAACTTTTGAACCCAAATGCTATACAGTAAAGTTTTGTTGTATATAAACATACTAACTATATAATTTTATAGGTCAGTATGTATGAAAAAATTAGTGCAAAGGATTATCAGGAAGAGTTGTTAAACTCTTGAATATAAAACATTTAAAGATGTTAATATTGATATAATAATATTATATAATAAAGCAGAGTAATATTATTTATCTTGTTTGGGCAACTTCTAGAATTATGCCTAGCACTTTTGCAAATGCTGCAGACATATATTTTTTTAGCAATGTGTTCAGCATCTGTATTTTCACATTTAGTACTACTTGGTCTTCCTTTTGTCTTTATCATATTAGGATCTTTAATATCTCTTATGATAATGGATATTTGTTATTTAATTGTTTAATGAAAGGGTTAGAGTATTATTAATTTCAATATGACTTACTCTTTTATAATAGTTTCAATATCTTTAAATAGAACTGAAGTATTTTTAGTAGATATTTGCTGATTAGTAAATATATTATAAGTACTATGATTGTATTCATTTATTAACTTATTATTATTAGTAATATTGTCAGCAGCATAATTTTTTTGTCAATTATATTAAATATTGCTAAAAAGATAATCTAATGAGCACCAATATAATTAATACTTAAGATTTTATTTCAGCAATATGAACTGCAAGAACATGACAGTATAACAAAGAAAATTATATCTTATAATCACATAAATAAGTGTACTTATTATCAATTTGATATATTGTATATTTACAGCTTTTATTATAATAAACATGCAGCAAACTAGCTTCTTGTCTCTTAATTTCATATATAATAGCTAAATTGTATTGATCTAACAATAAAGAATATGTAAAATTTGACATAATTACTAAAACATCTTTTAATAAGTCTGGACATTATAGGTGAATACTATTATATGTATAAGCAATATTGTTAGTATTAAGATTGCTAAAACTAATAGTTTGTTAATTTATTTAAAGCATTAATTAATTTAAGTAAAAAGGCAGTATAACCAAGTAGGTGTTTAAGGTGCAAATTGGTAACTTCTAACTATTGTATTGTTTTTACTTTATAATTGACATACTTATTGGTATAACTATATGCTTACATCCTTTTATATAGTTTTTACTGATCTATTATATAACTATTAGCTTCTGGATATTTAATCAATAAACAGTCTTATTGAATATTAAATTGCTTTACATTAGTTTTAAATATTACTACTCTGAAATCCTTATTAAATACTATGAATTTATCTTTGAGTTTATGATTTAAATTCTTAATAATATTTTACTCAACATGTCAAACACAAAGTTGATGTTTGATATATGATAACTTTGTTTTAACTGCAGACAAAAGTGCAAGGTCTTTATCAGTTATAAAAGTCTTTATATGATGAACAGTTATATTACCAGTTATTTTCATTAATTGACAGAATGCTTAGCAAAAGTTTGGCACAGTTTCATTGGCAAAAAGACAACTTGCAATAAAAAATGTTATACCTATCACATCAATACTACTAATAAGTAAAAGTGATATTCTAAATAATCAATATAGCTATTTAGTATGTAAAAAAAAAAATAATAAATAAAAATAAAATAAAGTAATAAAGTATTATTCAAACTGATTGGTTTTATATATCAAATTTATTAATAAAATCTCTGAATAATAATTAAAAGTAAAAAGCACATTATGAGTAGCAAATAATAAACAATGAAATTTTTTATTATTAATTATATAAGTGACTAAATATTCATTATTATTATTTAGATTAATCAATAATTTTACTGTTTGAGACAAACCCTTTACATAATCATGAAACTGATGATTCAAAGAGTTATATATATCTTTATTGTATATATATCTATTGTATTGTTTAGTTAACAAGTTAATGATTATCAGACTAGTATACTACTATCATAGAGCATTTGGATCTGTATATTTTTATTATAACTTAGCCTATGATGACTATAATCAAACATAATTGTAGCAGATTCTATAAGATAGTTATGTTCAAAATTAACAGACTGCAAGCAATATTTATTTTTTATTTAATGAACTATTATCTTAAATGAGCAGTTGATAGCTATGCTTTTTGTCTTTTGCAACCTAGTATTTGCATTACTTGCACTATTAGCACAATGACAGATGATATCTGTTCTGATTATAAAATTCATATTTCTTTCTGTATGATGAAATCTGGTAGCAAATCCTTTATTTATTGCATAGATGTTAATGTGTTCTTGGACATTATGCCAGTCATTAAAAGTTTATCCAACTGTTAAAGTAATTGGATTATTACCAGTAACTTGCTCTTGTAGTGTTATATTATTATTAGATAACTTATAGCTTTTATTAAGAATATCAAGTAAATTTTTATCATTACCAACATCAATATCAAACTTGTTTTAATATTATTATCAAGGTCTGTATATTTAAAAGAAGGTTCAAAGTTCATATTGCAATTACTAAACATCATAAAGCAGAAAAACAAACAAAAATACAAATAATCTTTTTAAATCATTTTTATTTACAAATATTATAACTCTGATTTGATTTTTATATTTTTATAATTATATATTAATGTTAATTGTTCGATTAAAAAGCAGCATTATATTTAGTATTAATTTATTATAAAACTATCATATGCAGAAATTAATAACCAGGATGCACAAAGTCAACTTTATTACAAGATCCAAATTTTTTAAAAATAGTTTCTTTAAATATTTTTTTTTAAACTATATTAAATTTTAATATTAGATCTGTAAATATTATAATAGACATTATATATATTTATTGATCTTTATGATGTCAGAAAATCAAAATTTTGTATATAAATAAAAAATTAACTTTGCATAACTTTTTATTGTACAAAATTATTTTTATGCTGTTATAGAAATTATTTAGAAATTGAAAATAGTAATATAATAACACTTGGATGGCATTTAAAATTAGCAGAAAGTAGTAATCATATAGATAAAAATAATTTTAACCTTTGCTATCAACAATGATATAATAATTTTAATAAACAATTAAATATTATTTAAAATCAGCAGACAGATGTAGTTCTGATGAACCAAATAATCTTGTATATTGCTATTTGGATAATAGAGAAATCAGTAAAGATAAAAAAAAGATATTTGATCTATGTTTATGTTATCAATCTAATTTGAAAGTTACTAGAATTTGCAAAATGTACTTAAATATATTTGAAATTAGCAGCAATAATTCTTATAAACAGTTAATCTTGATGTTATTTATAAAAATATTGGTATTGAAACAGATCAAAAAAAAGTGTTTATAGTTTACAAAGTAAGCTAAAGATAGTGATATTATTAGACAATATATATTTTAGATAGGTTATCAAAATAGTAAATTTATTACTAAAAATAAACAAAAAGCATTTAAACTAGTATTGTAGTATTTAAAGTTTATCTAATAAAATATACAAATTTGGGCCCAAACTGAATGTTCGCTTAATCTGAATTAAACTAAATTCAGATTTAAGTTGAACCTGATCTGAACACACTTAATCTAAATTAGGTTTAAGTTAAATCTGATTTGGATACACTTGGCCTAAATCGAGTTCAATTTGAATCTCTTGAACTTATAAACATCATAATTTAATTGGCTTACATTAAGTGGCAGTCATATGATCTATATAACTATATTTGATTATATACCTATTTGTGCAGCCAGTCTACAGATATGTACTAAATCATATAATTTTGCATATACTAGTTAATTATATGAATATGGAATAATGACAATATGTACAAGAAAATTTGATTTATTTTTTAATAGAAAAAAATAAAGTGCAAATAGATTAAATAGCAAAAATAAAGTGCAAATAAATTATATCAAAAACTAAATTGTATATTATAATTATGGCTCAATATCAACATTTAATTCAAGATAAATTTGGGTAAATTACAGTATCAATCTAAGTTTACAGATTAGAGTAAAAAAGTAATAAGATTATTAATTATCTAATAATGCACTTATTAAGTAAAATTGAATAATTGTATGCAACTTGCATACATATTATGTAATAAAGACATTATAAAAAAATAATTATAAGTGAAATAAAAATTTTTATTTTTCTGTTTACTTTTGAGAAACTTAATAAATAAAAAAAGCATATATTTTAATAAAAAATACTTTTGCTATTTGTTATAAATAAAAAAAAAACACATATTTTAATAAAAAAAACACTTTTGCCAATTGTTAATAAAACATTTAATTATATATTACTTGTTATATATATATATAAATTACATATTAAGCTTCTTTCATATATAACTTATTTGTTAGTAAAAACACACAAAGCTATTTTTTTTGTTAGATTCATAGACTTATATATAATTCATACTTACAACTTTTAAACTTAAACTTATGATGATTGAGCCTCTTATGTCTAAGTTAAATGATAAGTTTGAATTTTTGGAAGCTCTTGAAAAGGTTTCTAAATTGGCTACTAAATATAAAGAATTCACTTTTTCAAAAAAGATAGTAATCTTATAAGACATAATAGTAAATCACTTTTTGTTGTTTTGCAATATATGAAAGGTAAAAAATAGTGAAACTACTGGAATATAATAGAGGAAACTTGAAAAAAAAGAGAAATACCAGACATGAAAATTACTCTGTGCATATTAGAACTACTGCAATGAAAAGCTACACAACTGATGTTTTAGATACTCAAATAATATAGGTTATTATAAAGGTTGTACTTGAACATGACTACTTTATACTTAATTTAGATAAAGTTGTAACCTTTTTTTAGCATTATATTATAAGTTTAAGTCAAAAGAATCTTGTAAAACAGCTGTATGATAATAATGCATCTATTTATGTTATTATATCAGTTGTTAACAATACTATTAATGATGGAATAATTCTCTCAAAAAATATTATAAATAAATATACTCATATTAGAATTGCTTTGAATAAAGATTACAATAATCATTCTATTCAGATATTATTAAAACTTTTTTAAGAGTATGACTATATAGTTGTGTCTTATAAAACAAAAAAAAAATACTTAACTTACTTTTTTTTTCCCATATTAAAGTGACCAAGTGTATTGCTAGATGTTTTGAAGTTCTCATTGTAGATTGCACTTATAAAACAAACATTTACAAATATCTACTTGTGAGTATAGTTGGAATTAATAATATTAGCAGTAAAAAAAAGGTATTAGCATTATATCAAATTGTAATAGTCTGGATTGAAAATAAAAGCAAGGTGTCATATACATGATTTCTGCAAACACTTTGTATCAAAATTTATAATACTTATAGTTGCTTATCATAAGTCTTTATATCAGACAGAGACTAGGTATTAAGAAATGTCTTATGTAAAATGTTTTCAAAATCTAATAAGATGTTATATGTTTAGCATCTTTTGGAACAAAACTTGAAAGTTAATTGTTGCAAGCTTTTTAAAAATGATGATAATTATAAGGCATTCAAAAAGAAGATTGAAGTATTAAGATTTACAGAAAATAAAAAAAAGATTTCTAAATCTTTAAACATAGTTAAAAAAGTTAAACTCTCTTAAAAAGGTAGAATTATATATTTAAACATAAATGAAAAATTTCAGAATATGAATATTTGCCTATACTAAGCATTTCTGTCACATGAAAATATCAACTATTAGACAAGCTGAGTCATCTCATAGTGTGTTTAAATGGGCAATTGAGACAGTTAGTGATTTAAAAAGCATATTTTGTTAGATTGATCAAGCAATATGTTTACAATATCTAAAAGCAGCAATGCATATAGGTTCAAACAAAGTGGCAAATAATCCTTTTATTCTTCAAAATTCTATATTTAGTAAACTTATTTGAAAAGTATTAACATAAGCAATTGATCATATAAAAAGAATATTACAAAAAATTTCATCTATAGATACAAATGCTAAAGACTGTAAATGCTCAACCAAAATTAATTACAAATTACCTTGTCAGTATATGATCCTGATGCATGGCCCAATTTCTTTGTCACTAATTAATAAAAGATGGCTTTTTAAGAAACCAGATATTATTGAACTTTTACATCTTTCAAATTTCACTATTATTGATTTTAAATTTTATAATACCTTTGTTAATACAGAGAAAAAATTTTAACAACTATTAGATAATGTTGCTAGAACTGAAGTTATTGCAAAAATTCACTAAGCAATAAATGTACTATTGTCTAAGCCAACCAAATTGTCACAAAAAACAGCATCAAAGTCAAGTACTAAATGAGGATCACTTTTGAGTAAACATCAAGATGTCATTGCAAAAAAAAAACAAGGATGCTAAACAGTATTACAAAACTTAAAAGTAAAAATTCTAACAACAAAATATATCTTTAAAAGAAACTTTTATTACTTTTTAACTCTTTAATTATAAATTGTATAAGATAAATATTTCAAAATTTATGTGAGAACATATTTCTGAATATATTAATATAGCAGAAGATAGTAATTGTAGTTTCTATACTGTTGCTATATCAATTGGAAAATCTGAAGACTACTGGCTCAAAGTTCGAAAACTTATCTACAATGAACTTTGTATTTACAAGTCTTATTATATTTAACTATTTTTAAAAAAAGAAAAAGAATATAATGAGATATTATTTGCAATACAATGAGAGGCTGGCTCTTGTAGCAAATACTATTGGATGTTTATGTCATCTTTTGGATATGTTATTGCCAACACCTTCTAATGATCTGTTTACTATTTTAGCAAATATCTTTTTTTTACATTTCTTTTAGATAACATACTACTAAATCAAAATATATTGATTGTATTTAGTTATGTTCTTGAAAGATAGCATTTTGTAGCTGTAAAACTCAAGTTAAATGTACCTGTTCTTCTTATTACAAATAGTTGAGAAGAAGTATGTGCTAAAAATTGTAAAATATAAAAAAATTTATTTTTAAAAAAAATAGCTCACTTTGAAAAGGACTATGAAGAAGAATATAAATATTTATAAAAAGAAAATTTAGAATATGATAGTGTAATTGTATGCTAAATATTAAATTTTAATAATTGCTTGTCTCTGATGCCTTTCTAATAAAGATAATTTGATACCTTTTATATGTATAGTTGCTATTAACAAAACAATTATTACATAAATTAATATACAATCACAATTCTATAAATGCATACCTCCTGAGACAGGCCTTAGTCATGCATTTAAAGAAGATGTGCACTAATAGAAATTACAAATTTATATTATACAAATTTCAATTATTGATTGACCAATCAAATTATAGTGCTAGTAAAAAAAAAAACAGATATTACTACTTATAATTAATAAAGCTTAGTATGTTGTTTATAGTAATTTCAGCTAATAATTAAAATAATTATTCTTTTTTTTTGTTTTTTGTTTTTTTTTAATACAATTAATCTGAAATGTAAAAGTAAATTTAAAAGGTGAATCTAATCAAAAGTGTAAGTAGTTAAGTGTTAGAAAATTCTGAATTAATGATTTGACATCCAATTTTAGATAACATATTTTGTTTCAAAAAAGTGATAAATGAATCCAATTTTTTTTTTAAAACATATACTTATTTATATAATCACTTATCAGTGAATGCTTATCTAATTTTATTACCAGCCACCTTTATTTATCTGATTTAGGATTTTATAGCCATTTTCATAATTTCTAAAATACCAGATAAAAATTGACAGAATGGTTTTTTAGTTGATTTAGTTAAGTTATTCTTTCAGTATAAATAGATTAAATAAAATTACAAAGTTGTATATATGCATATACATCTGTATATAACTTTTATATTAACTAGTACATTATATTTTACATACCAACTCTATAGAAGTTTGGCTATTATTATTTGTATAACAAAAATTACAAGTCAGAAACTTATATATAAAACTTATGCAAATTACAGTATATATATAAAAAACATATTATATATTATACTTGTTTTTCAGATAATTTTAGTATTATAAATGTTGTCATATTCAATTTCATCTGAATACTTGCCAAACATGTTTAGAACATGTTTAGTATGTTTAGTTTGTGAGAAAATATATATGTATTTATTAAATTATAATGTAATCTATATGCAACACAATTTATATAACAATCATATTGAAATTACAAACTTAATTGAATCAGGTTTATTAGGAATTAAAAAAATAGCTGTAAACTCACTAAGTTAATTCTGAATCTTAATGTCAAAAATAAAATATGTAAAATTCTAATTAGCCAAGATTACTAGTATTATACTTATTTATTTGATTACTTAAATTATTTAAAAATATAATAAAATTTAAATATTAAATAATAATGCATCAAATAAAATATAATTTTTTTTATTTAAAGTAATTATTTATACAAGTCTGTTAAGCAGACTTGAGCATTTTCACTTTAATAAATTTTTCAAGAGAATTAACTAACTTTAATTGCTTATTTAAGCCCTCTTGCTAAAGCAAAAAGGTTCAAACACTTTCCAAATTATTTAATGCAGAACTACTACTAACAATTGCAATTTCAATGCTATTATCCTTTTTATTATCTATAACCTCAATGTTTTCATTATTTATAGTTTTGATGCTTTTATCTCTTCTAAATGTATATGCAAACTCTTTTATAATCTAATTATCTGAAGGAACCTTATAAACAAGATTTTTTATACTTATTGTAAAGAATTCATTAACTTCCATCAAATTAGGAAGATGGTATATATTATTAAGTGCACTAATAAGTTCATTAAGACTTGAATCATTGGTTCTATAAGCATTATTAGTTAATTCACAAACCTTGGGACCAATTGTATCTAGAAGAATTCTTGTATAGTGCCAACAGTTATGGATGGTCTTAACTGAAACTTCTTTTCAATTCTTTATTGTATATTGAATTGCTTAAAGAATATTTATTTTCAAATTTTGAATAAAAATACCTGTTTCAACTTGATCTAACATCTGCTTAAAAAAAAAAAAAATTAGTATGTATACTAAAATAAATATTGTATTATTTTGAAATAATGCCTTTGGGCATTATTTCAAAATTATACAGTAACCAATTAGTAGTTTTTTACTATAACTAACATTCAACAAATCTAAGTTGATAATGATAATAGGCTTTTTAAAAAGCTATAATGATACCTGTATCTATTGGTTGCATTATTGAGATTGTGTTTACAGAAAGAAAATAAACATCAATACAGTGAAGAGTTAACTTATCTAACTTATAGCTGGCATATTGATTAAGAAGTAAAAGAACATGCTAGCCATTATATTTTTAAAACATTTGAAAATCAAACTCATGGAGCCACTCTTGAAATAAAACTGTAAGTATCCAAGCTTTATAATTATTTTGATATATCTTTACCAAATTCTGAATTTTTATATTTTTAAAACACCAGAGGTTGGTGTACTTGCCAATTATAAGAGGGTTCAGTTTATGAGATTTATTGGTATTAATGCATAGGACTATAGAAAGACACTTTATTTTTTTTACATCCTGCAAGACATCATATTGCTAAAGTCTTATTTGGCTCCAATCTAATACAATAAATTAGTTATTAAAATAAAAGAATATACCTATATATACAATACATGAGTGTTACAAAATAAAAAAAAAACAGAAAAATCTTAAAAAATTTCTTTGTTTTTTTTTATTTTGTAATACTTAAATTATAATATTTCAAAATTTACCAATAAAAAAGACCTGTTTTATCTATATTATAAATTCAGTTGAAAGAGTACTAAGCACACAGGTCTTTTAATAATGACAAGAATCAGGCAATTATGTTCAAGTTAACAGATTCTGCTTCTTTATGAAGCTTTTGTTGACAGATTCTGTTTCTTTTCTTGAATTTTTGAAGCCATTCAGAAGAAAACTGCAACTTATCTTTAAAGACTTCAAGTTTATTTGCCAGCATTTTAGCTTTCTTGATTAACAAAACATCACTTAAGATGGTCTGATGCTGATATATTAAAATAAATTCTTTTAGGGTAAGCTCAAGCTCTGGTACTGCAACAGGTTTGTATCATTTGGCATTAGAGTTTAAAACTTCATCAGCAAGTCATTTTTTCTTGGCTTAAAAGATCCAAGTAATTGTAGATTCATTAACTCTGATCTTCTATTTATTTTTAATTTATTTTATATATTCAGGTCTGGTTTCTTTATTGTCTCTAACATAAACACAAAACTTATATTTTTGTGAGTCTGTTAAAGTAACCTTTTGTTTTATTATTATTAATATTGTATTAAAGACTTTGTCTAAATAAAGAAATATAATATAATATTAGTATTTAATTATAATTGATTACAATTCATATTGCTACTATTAGAGTAATTGTAAAAATATATAAGACAGTATTCTGCAATATTTCAGGAACATTATCTCTAATGTTTACTTTATTAATTTTTAAATAAAAACAAAAATAAAAAAAAATCAAAGCAAAAAAAATCTTTTTTAAAAAATACTCTTCCATATATCACTAAAGTACCCTTATATGCTTTGTACTCTCAAACTGATATTGATTCTTATTAATATTAAAAAAAGAAAATCCTCCACATATTCTATATAGTCACAAAAATAAACACACTTTATAATTATTTTATAATGTTAATTTGCTTGATCAATGATAATGCATATATACAAAGAATGTACATCACTGCCTAATAATAAATATTGCAGGTTAGTTAATGTTAAACACATTAAGTATTTTATTCTAAAGTTATTATATTGTTTTGGTATTTATTTTGCTTCTTTATTGCAATACTTAATTTCTCTACTTTAATAATCTTTATCTTACTTTAGACAACTTGATATTAATTCTTAGACACTGTAACAAAAAAATTGGTTGAGTTTAGAGATGGGATAGGTGCAATGAATTGTTATTTAAGAATAAAATATATTGTATAATGTTCCTTAATGACAATAGAGGCAGTTTATGATCTGGCACAAGGTCAAGACAGTCATTAAGAAGTGTTACAAGATAAGTATAAACTTTTTAAAAGAGCATTTATTGTATTGATCAAAGGAACTTTATTAATAATTTTATAATTTTGTAGGGATAATATAGTTTATTTACTCTTCGATTCTAAATTAAGAGCTTCAACAAAGCTATTCTGAACTATACTATCTAAACTACTTTGAACTATTTTTCAAGTAGAGAAATTCTACTTTTTTATAATGAATTAATCATAAGAAGAGCATGTACAAGACCATGACTCTTTTCTTTGTTTTTTATCAAATTCTAACCTGATTTGTTTTAACTTTTACACCTTTTTCATACAGCTTTTTGTGACTTTAACATTTTTCATGTTTATCATAAAAATGCTAAGAATGTTTTAGTATCATTTGACTTGAGGCAAGAATCCAATGTATTGTCTTTAATCATATTCTCTTGTCACTGCCTTACATTTAACTAAAATATAATAAGATGGTGTTAATATTTATTCTCAGTTGTAGTAATGTGAACTGGTTAGTCTAGATTAACCTTTCTTTAATTGGTGAGGATAGTTGGATCCCATGTTAAGACTTGTGCACTTTTATATATCTTTTTTGAGGCTGAGTATACATGTTTCAAATGGATCATTATGGACACTACCAATTAGGTAAGTATGTCTCAGTAATGATCATTTTTGCAAATTTTATAAGATATTAGTTTTACCTTTGACAACACTAATGTTAAAAAAAATCAGAAGTAAAAGTTCATTTCACAAATCTATATTAATCCTAATCTTGAAATCTGATTGGCAAAATTATCATAAGAATTTTTTTTTTTTTGTATATTCAAAATAAAATTAGTTTCTATTGAATAAAAATCATATAATAATACATTTATGAAAGGTATTTTAATAATAAGGGACCAATTCTGTAACTCTCTCCGTAGATCACTTGTACCAAATTTTGCTAAAAACATTTAATTATTTCTCAAAATTTTACTAAATAAACCTTACTTGTACTCTTAAGTAAAGTTGTTGAGCTCACT